TTTATTGGTTAATTATTACGGGCAATCACGGGTAGATCAACAAAAATTAGCCAATCATACGAATGTCTGCCCATGACGTACGTAGGCAACTTTAAGCAAGATATGTATGCGGTTTTACTATCTAGGCAACACGCATACGTGTACTATTTAACTCTGATGGTTAACGGTAATAAATATTTGCTAGCTGCTTGTAAAGAGTATTAATGAAGGATTTCAAGACATCTAGTTATCCTCCCTCTTTATTAAGGCCTCAAAGTCTTCACTAAATACATGATTGTGGATAAATATTTAGGCATTTACACTTGTACTAACAGACCTTGAATGAATACGTACGTACAGTACGTATGTATACTTTCGTACTAAATAAAGGAGTCATCTATTGATCTACATATGCATAATTCGTATTCTTGATACTTTTATAACCAATAGCCGAAGTTCATTAACAAAGCAACCTCTAACCGGACACGGCTTTAGCCATCTAAATAAATTACGTACGTACATACAACCCATGATTATCACGTACTAACGCTAACTTAGATCGTAACAACGGTTAATATCGTTACACTACATAACTTATATATGCTGTGATACGTACGTGATTCGCTAAACGATCGACTTTGATCAAACTTCTTTAAGATTTATGCTACTCATTTACATGAGATTTCAACTTTACTTGCTATCTTGCATTAGAAAAATTGAAAACTAAATGAAATACATGAAATAATTGGGTATGACCTCCGAAGAGATAATTCAACGAAAAGCTTTGGGAAGAGCTACTGAAATCGGATTTCTCTACGATGCTACGAGAGATATTTTTTGTGGATCTTCTATATTTAAAAAAGAACCTCCATCTAATATTATAAGAACAATAGATACTCCTCATACTGACCTAAAGTACGAATATGAAGATTCATACAAAGAAAAATTTAGTATGCTAGATGTTGAAGCTCAATTAAAAATAAGTGTTCTTTCTGGCTTATCTCCTTTGGTGGTACCAGGTAAA